AAAAAAAAAAAAAAAAAACAAAAAAAAGAGGAATAAATTCAACATGAAACAAAAAACAGAGAAAAAATGGTGTTTCAGCAGACAATACATGAGATAATTGCACTTTGGGCACCGGCCCGCCTCTGACACTGCATTTACTGTAGCATACTTAATGGGGCGGTAGAGGCGAAGGGGGAGGCGGAGGCGGTGGGGTAGGCGGGACGAGGTGGCCAACGGAAAGCTTTATTGTTGTGCGCCTATGTAAAAATCGTGCAATTACACATGCACGTGTGTGCATGTGTGTGTGTGTGTGCATGCACATTTAAGTAGGTGTGATGCGCGTGTGTGTGTGTGTGGGCTTTGTGTGTGCGTGGTTTGAGTGCGGTTTATGAAACGATGCCGAAAATTACACATACGCCCCATAGCACGCAGCCAGCGCTGCGTTGGCCACGCTTAATTACTGAGGCGGTGCAAGCTGTGGGCCGCATAAATTTGCATCAAATTTGAGCTGCCGAAAAAAAGAGAGAATAAAAAATGTATACAAAATGTATTTCCAGCTGAGCTGTGTGTGTGTGTGAGAGTGAGTGCTTGTCTGTATATGTGTGTGTGTGTGCATCTTAACTCCTTTATATATTTTGTGCCTGCTATTTTTTTAATTACTCTAAAATGTTCGGGAGCACCTAGGCTATTATTTATGTGTCTATGTGTGGGTGTGTGTGTGTACTCTTCAGACGACAGAGACAAGGGGCGTGCTGAGAACGTGTGCATAATTTTCCAGCACTTCCACAATTTTTGTCATTATTTTTTTTCTCCTCTTTTTTTGGTTGTTTTTTTGTGGCGGCGGCGGCAGCGGCTGCTGTGGCTGCCACTTGAGCCGCAAAACACGAGTCCTTGTCTATTGTCTAAAGCATGGCCAAGTGTTTGTTAGCAGCTGCTGCTGCCTTGCATCATCGTGCACCTATTTTAATTGTTGTAATAAAAAGCAACGAAAAAAGGGAATGCGAACAGGATGCGACAGCTGACAGGAACTGCAGCTGGCTAAAAGAAGAAGTCAAATGCCGCGCGCATTGACAAGCGCTCAATGGCTTTGGCCAAAACATGTCCAGCTCACACACACACACACACATAGATATTATATATATATAGTTGGCAAATGTATTGCCAGCAGCTCAGTCAAAAACACTTGAAATACAAAAGCCACTGACGCTGCAATTTTTTGGCGTTTATTACGGATTTTCTTTATATATATATGTGCATATATATACATAGATATATATATATATATACTGGGCTGGCTGCTGTTGATGATGAGGCGGCGACATCACCACTCCAAGTCAAGCGTCGACGTCGACGTCGCCGCTGGCAGCGGGCGCAGCAGACAGAAAATGAGTGCATCATATCGATCGCTTTTTTTTCCCCACTGCGTTTTACATTTTTTTTGGTCTTTCTTCTTGCTACTTTTTTCTATGCAGCAGTTAAGCGGAGGTGGAGGCGGAGGCGGGGGGCCTGTTGTCGCTGTGTGTTTATATGTATTCATTATTTTTCGTTTACGAAAAATTCTCTGTGCACACACACACACGCACACAGGCATGCACCGAAAAAAAGATTGTGAGCGTAATAACTGGCATAGACTGATGACGCCGGCGTCGACGGCGGCAGCGACTGCGACTGCGACGGCAACAGCGACGTCGCTTTCCCCATTTGGCCCCAAAAAAAATGGTGAAAAAAGCGAAATAAAAAAGCTTAATGCGTGCACTTGCTATTGTTATAGTCGATGTTGCTGCTGTTGCTGCTGCTGTTGTTGTTGTTGTTGCTGCAGGCCAACAATTTTAACCGTTTTTTTTTTTTTTTTTCATTACTCCCCAGTCCCCCTGCCGCCCTTTTTGCCATATTTTTGTCATATTCCAATGACCGTTGGGCGTTCAGGTGGGTCGGCCTGGTTGACTGGCTTGGCTTGGCTGGCTGGTTGGCTGGCTGGCTCGCCTGATTGCCGTTATATGTGTTTGTATGCTATATGCGTGCGTGAATGAAATGTCGCTTAAATGAGCGAGATAGAAAAAAAACGCATACAAAAAAATTGCAGCAGCTGCAGAGGCAACGGCGACGGCGACGGCGACGGCAGCGACGTCAGCAGCGCTGGCCGTAAAAAAAATGAGTGCATATCTTCCGAAAAAATGCAACTGCATATGTATGCATGTATGCGAGCATGCTAGTGTGCATGAATGTATGTGTGTGTGTGTGGGTGGTTGTTTGCTGCGCACGCATCGAGTGCAAGGGGCAGGCAGGCTGGGTTGGGAGTCGCCTGCATTGGCAACAAAAACAAACATGCAATTGCATTCATACACAAGTAAAAAAAAATAAAAAAAAACACTCACACACACACATGGAGTCACATGCACACATGCACTTGATGCATTTTTAACAAAATTGCATTCGGCGTCGTCACACATACACCCGAACATTCAACCCTGGAACGGGACACTGTGCCCGCCCACGCCCACTTCCGCCCACCCACTGGCCAAGCCATGTTTGCGCTGGCGTCCCGCCACAGACAAATTTAGCGGCCACGCAACAAAATGAAAAGACAACAGAAAAACGAAAAAGCGAAGAAACGAAGAACCGAAAAAGCGAAAAGCGAAAACAAGAGAAAAGTGAAACGAAAAACTTTAATTAATTATGTGCACAGACCGAAGCCAGACTAGAAAGAATATTTAACAGATGCTTAACTTTGGCTAAACTTCAAATTAACTCTCTAAATTATGAACGCAGCGAAATTACAAAACTACAGCAAAAGCAGGAGGAAAGGGCGAGTTTATACAAGTTAGGCTTATTTACGAAACCCCTTGAATATGAGCCAAAAATGAGGCAGCAAGAGTTTTACATTTATTATTTATTTGCTTCACTTAGAACTGAAATAATAACAATATTCTAAATTTTAAGGAACGTATCAAATAATATATTCAAAATTAATAAGAATATATATTCAAAATGAAGGTTAACACTTGACAGGTCACTACTTAACTTTGAGATACCAGCCATATAAAAGGCACACAAAAGGCAACCCTATAGACCTCAAATGATCAGATCTGCTTCTATCCGAATGTATTAAAATTCGACAGTTTTCTTAAAATATTCTGCTAGGAATGCACTTTTGCATTAGCTATAGCTATTTGATAATCCACTTTGGACACTTAGCTGCTTAAAGAATTCAACAGTAACATAAACATTCTCTCAATTATTAATGCTCGTATAAAACAAGAAATTTTTAGAAACTAAATCTGGGCTGCAATGTGAATGAACCATTAGTTCGATCATTTGAATCAGAAATTCCCTTGTAGAAAGGGAGATGATTCGACTTAAGCTGTTGTTAGTTTCCCTCAGGAATTTCTAGTATCTCAGTAACTCTCGAAGCATATAGTTAAACCAGCTTATAGTCTTAATAAGCACTACATATAGGCCAGCACTCAGTGGGTCAATGAAAGAACTATATTATTAGTCAGGCACTACTCTATACAGCTTTAATTGCCTTTAATATAGCTGTAATGCAAATTCTCTCAATATTTCGATCACTCGCCAGATTATAGTATATATTAATAATTTTTATATATTTGCTTTCATTTGCGCTCGCATTGCCCGCGAGTCGAATGTAATTATGTATATACTTATGTTTAACCCAACGCACTCGGTAAGCCCGAAAAAAAAAAAAAAAAAAAAAAATGTAATACCAATGCATTGTGCATTTCATGTATGTAAACGGATGCAAGGCATGGGTGTCAGTGTGTGTGAGTGTGTGTTTGTGCTTGCATTGCTGTGTGTATGTGTGTGTGTTGTGTATTTAAGGCATACAAAAGGTGTGGGATTCACCGACAAAAAATGCGATATGCGCATAAAAATGTCAGCAGCAACAACAACAACAACAGCAGCAGTTGCAGTTGCAGCAGCAGCAGTTGCCGATGCAATTGCAGCAAGCGTCAAAATTGCAACAACAACAGCAACGAAATCCACGCAAAAATGCAACAAAAAATCAACCCTTTTTTATTTTTTGTTGTTGCATTGCAGTTGCCGCTGCTGCCACAAATTAAAACAAAATGTCAGAAAAAAAGGCGAAAAAGAACGAAAAAATATAAAAACAAACGTGGTACGAGCGCAAATGAATCCTCGCTACATGCGTGCAACAAAAACAACAGCAACAACAACAACAACAACAACAACAGCAGCAGCAGCCAAATTCATGGCAGTGGCAGCGACGTCAGCGTCGACGCCAGCCGCGGCTGTTGCAACGACGGCAAATTGCAATTGAAGTGCAGCCAAAAGGTAAACGACACCAACAGCTACAACAACAACAACAACTACAACAACACGAAATCAAAACGACATTGAAATGACATTTTTCATTAATATTTGCAAACCTTTTTTGCGAAACCCTTTTAACCCCTTCGCGCCCCAGCGCACATTTTTCGGTCACATTATTTGGTCTAGAGGCGCGCAGCAACTGCTCTTCGGTCAGCAACCATTGCTGCCACCTGCTGTTGCAGCTGCACGCTGCTGCTTCTTCTCATTTTTTGTTGCTGTTGTCAGCGCAATTTTCAGACATTTTCCAGACGTGCACGATCCTAGCAAAAAAAGAAAAAAAATGAAACAGAACCTTGCTACAACAACAACAACAAAACTTTTCCGTCAACTTTTGCTGCGCTGAGCTGAGCTGAGCTGGCCCACAGCCCACAGCGAGGACAAGAAGCTGTGCTGTGCGTTTCCGCAGCCAGTGCAATGTACTGCAACGGCAGTGCACACACCCACCCCGCCCACCTACGCGCACAGCGCGACGAACGCACCCAGCCCCACCCACTGTGTGGTGCTGCCAAAAGGGTCTTGGTCTCAACTCTCGTCGCGTCTGCTGGCGTCTCGTCTCGTCTCGTCTCGTCTCGTCCCGTCTCGTCTCCTCTCCTCTCGCTGCCCTGCCGGCTGCGCATAAAGAAAAGAAAAATTTCGTACGGCTTTCACTGCTGCTGCTGCTGCTGCTGCTGCTTCATGTTGTTGTTGTTGTTGTTGTGCACAAAAAGTTGCCTTTTGAAATGGGCTAGCCAAAAGTGCGCTCCACCCGGCCAAACAGAGAGTGGCTGCAGCGCTGGCACCACCAAAGCGCCAAGTGGTGCGGCTTGGCATTAAGTGAAAAATGCTTTTTTATTTTAAGCAAAAAAAAAAAAAAAATGAATTAAAAACAAAAAATGGAAAAAATTCGTCTAATGAACTTCAAAAACATGTTTGTCCCTGCCTTGGCTGGCAGGCTGACATCTTCGTGTCTGCCCCTGCCACGCTCAGCCCTGGCGTGTCATCTTTTGTCTCTGCAGCAGGCCAAAATCGGAGAGAGCTGAAAGTACAAAAAACACACACAAAAAAAAAAAGGCATGGTATATAGAAAAAGGAAGAAACGTTACAAATTTTTCTATGCTGCATCCTTGCCATTGCCTTTGACAAGGACAACGTCGCTGCTGCTGCTGCTGCAGACATTTAAGAAGCGCTCATTGTCTCTGCACTCAAGTGTGTGTGCTCCATGTGTGTGTGTGCCCAATATATGAGCACCGAAAATAAAAGAGGGAAAAAACTAACAAACAAGACAAAAAATGTGCATTGGCAAAGGGTGAAAATAATATTTTGTCAGCTTCTGTTTTCCGCTTTGAACTGAAGTCACAGAAAAGAGAAGCTGTCAAATGCGAGCTGATGCGCCGGAAGAGGTTCCCGAGCACATAATGCGGGATGGATCATAATACGGCTTGACTGCTCAATTACCTCGATGGCACATGTTCGAGGGCTACTTCGACTACAAATCTACTTTCATTTGCCAAAAGTTCATTCACTGCAATTTGTCGAACTAATTAAGATCAAATTGGATTACGGTTCACAAGCACTAGTACCACATTGAAGGGAATTGAAGAGGGCATATAAGTTTTGAATAGCTGAGGACAATATATTCATTTAGAGATTCATTAGCAGAATCAAGATAAACTGGTTCAGCCTGTCTGTCTGTCTTTCACTCTTCTTGTCCGTCCCTCAATCTGTATGCATGCAAATCCTAAAAGAGTCAAAAGATTTCAAATTGAAAATATTCATTCCTATATAAGCTTCAAGCTAAAGGTTTTTTATGTCGATAATTTTCTAATAATCTCGTAAACTAGAAGAGCTAGTGCTATTAAACTTGGTATGTAAGCTCTCGTAAGATATACCCATTGAATATTAATATTAGTTTTTTGATACATTATTTATATATGTATATATTTTATCATATTTATATATTTGCGAGCAGCTGATTATTACACTTTGGGATGTACATACCATATATACATATGTCAGCAGTCATATCGGAATACAGAGTATCTTTTAGTCAGCTCCTGGATCATATATACATATATCACATACATTTATGGTGCACATATTCAACTATAACTTCTAGCTAACTTCAAATATCCTAGTCGAACACCTAGCGCTAGAGGGCCTATTGAGTTTATTATATATGGTTATTAATCGAAAGGTATCTCTTTAAGTAGGACACTTTCTACGCGAATACCCTTGCTTTTATTTTTTTCATATATTTGATAAATGTAGAATATAAAAAGTGCATTAAGTATTACTGCATACTTTTCCATATAGGCCTATTGGTTTAGATTTATTAATCTATATCAAATATATATAGTTGAAAACCTTTTAAACGAGTACCCTTAAGTCGGTTATTTCCTGCGAAAACACTCTTTCTGTACTCTTAATATGTACAATCCGTTATATGTTTCTTTATATGAACTCCTAGCAAACCTTTGTTTCATCTTCTGCCTTTCTCTGCTCTTACAGAGCTCTGTCGGAGTGTGCCACGCCCCTTGGAGCCGCCGGCCGGCAGGCGTACAGCAATGAGGATCTGAACAGCGCGCTGCAGGATGTGCTGGCCAACAAGCTGGGCACACGCAAGGCGCCCAGCCAATACCACGTGCAGCGCACGACGATGCGCAGCAAACTGGGCAAAATGTCAATCGATGGCAAACGTGCGACGCCCGACCTGCAGCAGCAGCAASTGTTGCAGCACGAGCTGGAGCTGGACGAGCAGGAGGAGTCCGGCGATGAGGCCGGCGATGGCGACAGCAATGCGTCGGGCTACCAGGCCCATCACATGGTCGTCAACGAGCACCTGCGCAAGCTGGGCGACCTGTCCGAGCACAATGGCAGCGACCTGGGCGACGAGCAGGAATCGGTGATGTCACCGAAACAGACGCATTCCCAGGGCGCCGGCACGCCCACTGGCCACCTGCCGGGCGTACCAGCTGGCGGCAATGTGGCCGGCGCCATAGATACGCGCATGCTGCTGCAAACGCTGATGCTGGCAGCGGGAATCGGGGTGATGCCCAAGCTGGATGAGACGCAGACGTTGGGCGATCTGTTCAAGACGCTGCTGATGGCCAGCAGTGGCGGCATTCTGGCCCAGGAGAGCAACGGCAGTGCCACGCTCTTGCAGCAGCAGCAGCAGCAACAGCAACAACAGCAACAGCAACTCGATGCGGTTGCTGCCTTTCGTCGTCATCTACCAAAGTCTGAAACGCCGGAGACTAGCTCCTCGCTGGATGCCAATGAGGCGTGCGAGGATCCTATACTGAAGATTCCGTCCTTCAAGGTCAGCGGCGCAACCAGCGTCTCGCCCACCAACAGCAACAATGCCAGCGCCAACATCATCGTCAACAACAACAGCAGCAACAACAATAACAATGGCAACAGCAGCAGCAACAACAACAACTCTAGCAGCAATCGCAACGGGGATCACAGTCCACACTCCGCCTCGCCGATGCTGGCAGCAGCTGTTGCCGTTGCAGCCGCCAGCAACAGCTATCGCAACAGCAACAACAGCAACAGCAGCACCAACCACCTGCTGTCGCCGACAGCAACATCCATACAAAAGATGATGGCCAACACCATACAGCGCAAGATCAACGAGCAGAGCAACCAGGACAGTCTCCTGGGCCTGGACAAGCGCAACAATGGCAACACCAGCGGCAGCGAGTGCAGCAGCAGCGGCGGGGGCGGAGTAGGAGGCGGCGGCAATACCAGCAGAAAGCCCAGCATATCGGTGGCCAAAATAATCGGTGGCACGGACACCTCACGCTTCGGCGCCTCGCCCAACTTGCTGGCCCAGCAGCATCACAGCCATCTGAGTGCCCATCATCATGCCCACGCGCACACGCATCCGCATGCGCACCACCAGCAGCAGCAGCAGCAGCAGCAGCAACAGCAGCTGAGCGCGCAGGAGGCAGCGGCGCTGGCAGCTGGCAAGGGCACCCGGCCGAAGCGCGGTAAGTACCGCAACTATGACAGAGACAGCCTGGTCGAGGCCGTCAAGGCTGTGCAGCGCGGCGAGATGTCGGTGCACCGGGCCGGCAGCTACTACGGCGTGCCGCACTCGACGCTGGAGTACAAGGTGAAGGAGCGGCACTTGATGCGGCCGCGCAAGCGCGAGCCGAAGCCCCAGCCGGATCTGGTCGGGCTGACGGGCGCGGCGAATAAGGTGAATGCCAACTTGGTGGGGCTGAATCATCTGGACAAGCTGAAGGCGGGCAACAGCAGCAGCGGCAACAGCAGCAGCAACAACAGCAGCAGCAATGTCGGCTCCAAGCTGAGCAACGCCCTGAAGAACAACAGCAGCGCGGCGAGCGCAGCGGCCGCTGCCACGCCCAACGGCCTGAAGCTGCCCATTTTCGATGGCGTTCAGCCGTTGTCCTTCCAGCCGACCATGTTCTGGGCGCAGCCGAACGCCGGCGCCAACTATGGCCTCGACTTGAATCGCAATAACGAATTTCTGAACAACCATCTGGCCGAGGTGATACGCGGCAGTCCGCTGGGAGTGGCGGCCAATCTGAACCACGGCCATGTGCCGAGCGTGCACATGAAGAGCGCCCTGGAGTACGCCGAGAACATGTACGACGGCATCATACGAAAGACTCTCAAGCAGAACGACAGCGACGTCATTCTCAACAGCAGCGGCAACAACAGCAACAGCGGCAATGGCAACGGTACCGGCAACGGCAATGGCACCGGCAACGGCAATGCGCTGCTGGATCAGCTGCTGGTGAAGAAGACGCCGCTGCCGTTCACAAACAATCGCAGCAATGATTACATCAACGCCACCTGCTCCAGCTCAGAGTCGAGCGTGAAGCGTCCGGGCAGCCCGCTGGGCGCCTATGCGGATATTAAGCGCGAGCGACTCAGCCCCATGCGCAGCACGGCGAGCGCCAGCAGTGAGGACGAGCAGGATGCACATGTCAACACCACCAATAACAACAACAACAACAACAACAACAGTGAGTTGGCCCACAACAAGAACAACAATGGCAATGGCAACGGGCGCAGTCGGATGACATCGCGCGACTCGGAAACGGACGCCAGCAGCTTGAAGAGTGAGCAGTCGCTCAGCTCGGCAGCGCAGCTGCACAAAATGATGGATCTCAATGGCAGCAACAGTGTCAAATACGAGCCAGAGCCGGCGGCAGCAACGGGGGCGCAATTATCGCCGAACAGTTCGATACTGCACGACAAGCTGGCACAGATCAAGGCCGAACAAGCCGAGGAGCAGTTATAGGTCCGGTGGCAACCAGGTGAGGACTGTCCCCAGCAGCAGCAGCAGCAGCAACTTGTGGCACCCACATTTGTGTGGCCACCGCTAGCCACGCACTACTATAGTTTCTAAATGAATGGGGCAGTTGGTTAGGTGTACAGGCAAGGGCAAGGCAGATTGAGCGAAACCAAATTTTTAAGCATACATGCATGTATATATGAATGTCTATATATATGCATATATGTATATATACAATGACAAAGCAAAGAGCCCGCGGCAAATGGAGCAGCAACTCCAAATTGTTAGTAGTTAATAAAACCTAAAGCAAAACAAAAATGAATACACACACACACACGCAAGCATATAACTTATATGTATATGTAAGCATGCAATCTGTATGCAACACAGCAAAACAACAACAACAACAAACATGCATAGATACACACCGTATTTATGCATATTTTTTGTTTAGTTTTTTGACAATCGACAAATAGGCATTCTCTTGTACAAACTTTCTAAACCAAACAAAACAAAAAACAAAAAAAGAAAACCCTAAAAAATATACAAAAAACAAGTAAGCAACAGAAAACACAACAATACCAAGTAAATTAATTTTTATAATTAAACAAAGAAAAAGTAACCAAATTTATTTCGATTAAAATTTTATTTCAACACCAAAAAAAATCAAAAACAAATTAAAGTACAGCCCATATAAAAATACTATGCCAGCGCCTGCTTGCGAATTGTAGACGAAAATTCTTGGAAATAAAACATTCCATAAACACTTTTATAATTTTTAATATA